GGAATATTGATAAGAGGGCTACAGAGAATCCTGGCAAAAAAATTAACAGAATTTTCCGTACCTTTCCGCCACAGTGCAGATAAGATCTTTGAATAGGACCCCTCGAATTCGGGCTACGAGAGCTTTTCAAAGAAACCTTATGTCATCGACAGCGACCCACAGGAGTTCTCTACGCATTTTGTTTCTCTACCCTATCACATCTTCCGCGATGTCACCGTTGGATGGAACAGGCTGTCTTCCCTTTAAACTTTTTCGAGAAGTGAACGCCTTCTTTTTGTAACGCATTCGATTAAGGTGAGGTGTAGGTGAAAATGGAAACTTCTATATCAATTGGCTTTGGTGATCGAAACTTTAGAGCGTTAAAGCACTAGATAGGAAACTTTTACGCATCAAATTTTATCCAAATCCTCCCACCCATTTAGCCACAGTAGGCTTTTCTCATTGAAATTAAGCGTTTAGTTGAAACATCAGCCACGCAAAGTTTTAAATGGAATGATCTGAAATTTGTTTTGGAGTTACTTAAACCCCTGTACTTCAATGCAACAGAGAGATATTTCAATTTTTCTTTTGTTTTAACAGAGCAAACTTAACAAGTTTTTAATTGGAAAAATTATTTTTTTCTCCATTTTTTACCACTTTAAGTTAAACGATTAAAGAAAGCGGATAGCTATTCGAAATATCTCTGTTACACTGTTACATGGACCACAAAGAACTACTCCAAGAAGTATGGTCAGTATTATACTAATCTGTGCGTGCGATGCGTGGCTAGTTGACGGAGTCGAAAAAAAAAATTCTTCGACACTTGTCATTGGAGTTGGGTGACCACACTCTAAATGTCTTAAATTGAAATTTGACCTGTGTTATTCGTATGTTACAGTGAATTCGGCGCAAGCACAATACGAAGCATTTTTCCCTTCGTCATACGAACCTTTATAGCTTTTTCATTGTAAGATACAAAAAAAAACCCTTCGTAATACGAAGAAAAACCACCTTCATTATGCTTGCGCCTTTTCCCTTCGTATTATGGGAAATTTCTTCGTAATACTTTTAAAGAGCAAAAAAGGGCGCATTTTTTAAAGGTTCAAAACACAGACCTTTAGGACATGCTGTCGGTAATAGAAGACCATTGTACATGAAAATAACAAGTGAAAAAATTTATCTTTTTAAATAAATTTTGGTACAAATTTTACCCTCACCTCCCCTTTAAAGGCTATATGATACGGAGGCACATGTGAAATTACTTTTTCCCTTTCCCAAAACACACCCACGCACTACAAGTACGCACGCTCACCGACAAGCTTCGCAGAGGGACAGCTTAAGCAGACAGAAAGCACGAGGGAAATTCTTCAATAAGATATGGCAAGCCAAATCGGAGGGGAGTTGAAAGTGCGCGCCGCCTGCGAGAGCCAGGTGGGCGTGGGGGCGTTTGAAACAGGAGAGGAAACGGTGGCGCGCGTGGCATCTTTTAGTCAGGCAGCCAAGAGGGAAACCACCACGCCGAGTGTTCGAACTGGCGGCAGAGGGGTTCTGGCTGATCTCTTAATACGTGTGAGTACACATGGGTACGCCAGCACTAGTGCTTCCACCCTCGGGGATATTTTGTATTCTTGGCGTTTGTGAGAATTTTCGAGGCGGTCCAAATTTATATATGTAGAAGTGGATAGGTTTCGAACAAAACAAAGCCAACACATGTCAGGCATGGATGGGACAGCTTTTGACCTTAAAAACCCTTACACTTTATATTGTCAACAATTTCCTTTAAAGGAATTCGGAATTGAAGATCAACCTCTCTTTCACACCCCAACCAACCTGTGACACGTGTGGACAATTTCTTTTGTGTCCTCTAGACGAGTCGATTTTAAAAAAGTGATGTCCGATTGAACAGCTTTGTAAATTCACTCGGATTCCTTGGAAATTGTGGTAAGGCGTCCTGTGGCTTCAACGGCGGCAGTTACACCGTGATTTCTTCAAAATGTCCTGACACACATTCAGTTCGTCTGGCAGCTTTGGGACTCTTAGCCAAGTGTGGACCCCCTTGTAGTTCACGTTTGAAGCTTCGATCACATTTCGACGCCTCCCAACGCTTGAGCAGATCTAAGACGATCATAACTGTCGACAAGCAGTTGGGAGGCGTCAAATGTGATCGAAGCTTCATAACGTGAGCTAAAAGGGGGTCCACACTTGGCTTAGGAGTCCCAAAGCTGCCAGACGAACTGAATGTGTGTCAAGACATCGTGAAGAAATCAGGGTGTACTGTACTGCCGTCGTTGAAGCCACATGACGTAAAGTCGTCTTTTCTCAAAGTACGTGACGCAAAGATACTCCATCAAAGTTCTTGCCGAAGGGCTTGTTAAAAAAATTCATCCTTAAAAATTCGTGGATATTGTACTTTCGATATATCGCGATTCACTGATTTGCAGTGAAAATACTTCAAAAGGGTAGGGCACGCCAGCCCTTTGGCTTGTCGTAACAGGCTTCGCGATGCTGCGCCAGTTCCGAAAATCCACGCCTGGCGTTCACATCTTGGCCTGCGGCGCTGGCCTGCCTTCTGCAGGCTCCGCCCCTTACATCGGCGTACTGATCGAGTGTTCACTGGAAAAACCAAAGCATAGTATTACCCTCTTTTTTCAAGCCTAATCGGTTACGCTTGAAACCATGCGTAACAGGGTCATACGTCAAAAATTTCCCCCTTTTCCTAACGCATGGGGGTATTTCCATATTATGCTTCATGTCAAGCGTAATGTCTTCAAGCGTAACTTTAAACATAAGAATTTTAAAAGTAAAAAATTTTTAATGTTGCTACCAAAAGATTCGGGTTTTTTTTTGAGGGGTCAGAACCCCCCCCGGTACAATGTAAACCAAAACGTATCTTTTCCTTTTTATGAATTGGGGTTTGAATTTCCCTTGGAAAAAAAGCCTTCCAAACCAGTCACAAAAAAAAAATTTGGAAGTTTTTGAATCGAACTACTTTTGGCCCCACTAACAAATTTGTTTGGAAGGCGTTTTTTGGGGGCCAGTAGCCGTAAAGGCTTCGAGCGCTTGTAAAGTTTCCGGCCCCGGTCTTACCAAAAACCCATACCCTGAAACTCAAATTTTAAAAAAGCAGGGAAAAAACGTTCAAAATTTGCAAAATTTTTCTTTTTTTCAAAACCCCTTTAGTTGAAACCCCCAAATCAACTTCTGAAAATTCTGTTCAAAATTTTCCAATTCTTCCCAAACCGATTTTGGGGAAAAATTTTCAATTAAAAATTTTTTTTTATTATCCCCCCTAAATTTTTTTAACTTTAAAGATTGACTCAGGGTTTTGTGTTTTTTTTTTTTTTAATTTAAACCTTTGAAAAAGTTTTTTTTTTTCAAATTTTTATTGAAAACCCTAAAAAAAGGAAATTTCAGCTTATTTTTTTTAAAAAATTCCTTTTTTTTTATGGGTTTTCTCCGTAAAAAAATTTGGAATTATTTAAAATTAAAAAAAAGTTTTTAAAAAAAAAAAAATTGATGATTTTGGGGGAAACCCCGTTGGGCCGGTACGCTTCCCTAAAACGACCCCGCCGGGGGTTTGTCCCTTTTTTTATCCCAAGGCGTTCAAGTATCTTCCCGTTTTTGGGGGTCACTTTTTCAAAAACGTTTATTTTTTCCCGGGGGGAAGGGGGGAAATAAAAAAGTTAAAAACATTTCGCAAAAATCGGTTAACTCCTAAAAAAAAATCTCCCTAAAATTAAAATTTCACCTATTCCAAAAAAAAACTTTCTTTAAATTTTAAATTTTTTTGGTCTTAAAAAATTATTTATTCTTGGGGAAAGCTTTATGCCAAAATTCTTAAATAGAGTTTAACAATTTTATTGGGACCCTTGGGGTGGTCCCCGCATTTTTTGGTACCCAATTTGGGGAAAGGTCCCCTAAAACGGCTGTCCCAAACTCCGGATCCCCTGGGCCTCCCATTGGGTCCTGGAACAGTTTTTTCCGGGTTTTTGGGGAAATTTTGGGTTGACTTCCCAAACCCAAAAAACTTTCAGAAAATTTTAAATATTTAGACCCACAGTATTTCTAAAAATTTTTCCCCAAAGGTTTTTAAATTTTCATACATTCTAATTTTTTAAACGAAACATCGAAAATTATCAAAAAAAAAATTCAGGGGCGGGGAAATCCTCCGGAATTGGGTACCATTCCTATGACCTAATGAATACGTTTCCTTTTTTTTAAAATTTTGTTTTTATATTTTCCAAATTTTAATTTTAATTTAAAATTCTTTAACCCAGATTATTGTTTTTCTTTTTTTTAAAAGGGTTTTTCAACGTAAAATTTTAATTTTTCTTTCACACATTTTTTCTTGAAATGTTTTAAAATTTTAAACCGGGCTTTGCATTTAAAAAATTTTTTTTTCAATGTTTTTCATAATCCCTAAAAGACAAAATTGGCAAGTTGAAGAAAAAAGATTTTGTTTTTTAAAAACCCAAAAAAGGAAAAAAATCCAATTCTGACTGAATAAACGTTAGGGATGTCGGGTCACAGTTTTAAGATATTTTCAAGGTCGGGATCTTAATTTTGTTTTTTTAATATTTTCCATTCTACATGGATGCCCGGAAAAATTCCCTTTGGGAAAACCCTTTGTGCCCCCCGCAAAAAATTCCAGAATCCCCAGGAAGGAAGGGGAATCGAGCCCCTGTTCTTCCCTTTTTTGCGGGTAAGTGCTTGCGTAATGTCCTCTTTTACCTTCCCTAGGTGCCACTTCCAAAGCAATGATTCCCTTTGGGTTAAAAATGGGGGGGGTTAAAATTCTGAGGTCGGGTTTTTCCCCCCCCTCCCCTCCCCTCCCCCCCTTGCTTTCACTTGAGGTTTGGTTGCTGAAGGGTTTGGATTGATTTCGAAAAGGTAGTTCGCAATTCTGCGAACAGTTAGTTCGCCGCGACAGAAATAAGTTGCGTTTACTTACACATAGGTTGGCATGATTTTTAAGAGTGCTCGCCGGCCGTTGCCTCAACTCTTCCTTTCGTTTTAGGCCTTCAGGGACAACCCCATGAACTTCCCCGACAACTTCGCGCTGCTTGCAGAGATGCCAGCTAGGTGAGTGAGATCTTTTAGTTCCCCTGTCCGTCAGTGGATGCCTTTACCAACGACACTGATAACTAATTCATTTAAGGGACTGGATCTATAAACATTTGTTTTGTAAATGGATCCCTGTGAAAATTTGTTTGAATTCAAAATACGAAGATTAAAATAACTATTAAACTATTAACTATTATAACTATTAAAATTTGAGTGCTCTCGTGCCATGTTCTGAACCCACTCGAGAAACTCTCCTTGCCGGGCTTCAACTTTAAAATTCGTTCGCATCCTGTCTAAACGTACCAGTTTGGTTGGTCTTGCCGATTTTCTTTAAGTCACGTATAATTTTCGTTTTAACCGATTGTACTAAGTAATATGCTCATTTACAATTAATTGATGATGCTGGAATCTTTTATTATTATGGAAAGTTTTATGTATTAAGTTTGAACAAAGAGTTCGTGTGCTCAAAAAGCTGTGATAGCTCGTACAAAATTGTTCAAGATTTAGAGTGTGCATATGTAAGTTATGGACAAATTTAAATTAGGTACTTTTTAATCGTGCCTCCACTGTATTTCTTTGTCTGGCAGGGCCGACGAGCCTTGGTGTGAGACGTGTGGTCTTCGGTTCCGCGGTGCCTGTGCCGACGCCGCGCACAGGCCTTGCAGCGTGCGCCAGAGGCGTGTTCGGCAGGAGCAGCGCCAGGCTGACCAGCAAGTTCTCCAGGACCTGCAGGAAGGTCTTCAGAACCTGCAGCTAGGCCTCCAGGATGTTCAGCGTGAGATGCAGGACTTGCGGCAGACCCAAGATCAGCTTTTGCGCAAGGTAGTTAGAAAGGCGCGTTCATAGCAGACAAAAGCCATTTGCTATGAACCCATCGAAATGGGCATTTCAAGCACCCATTTAATTGGGTCCAACCCATTCTGATGCGTCGTCTAACCCATGTAATGGGTGCGTGAAAAGTACCCATTTAAACAGGTTGCACCTGGGGTCTGACCCATTTCAAAGTGTCCAAACTTGGACTAGATCTTTTATTATTTCTTTAACAAAGAAGGTTATTGCTAGTCTATCCTATATGAACGTTAACACACCAAACTTCCGGCGCTGAACACAATGGTGATGTCGAATTTGGCCTAATGGTGGTGTTGGATTTGGCGTAGCTGCAGTAGTTTACAAGTTACCCTTAATAGGTGTGAACGTGAAGCGGGTTCACCTACCTAAATTCACGTAATTTTTGCCTACTTGGCAGGTACCGCAGGTCCTACCGGTCAAAGCCTATGAAGTGTTTGCCTCATTATTACAAAGAAAATGAGGGCATTGTAAAATAGTTTCGTGTTACGAAGGATTTTGCTTCAGCATTTCTTCGTGGATTTAACAAAGCCTTCGTTTTCTACGAAGCTATTCTTCGTAGTTTTAAATGTGTACCAAAATGCGGAATTTTAGGAGTTTTTCCGTTTTGTTGGTACCGCATTCCATCTCAAACTGTCGGGACGGCTGTTCTGTGGTTGGATGGGGTCATACTCATCACTTATTGAAGACAACTTTTCGAGGTCCTATTCAAAATCTTAAACGCTGTCGAATTTCACTCAGTTTGATCATTTGACACTTATTGAATGCAACATTTTGAGGTCCTATTCAAAATCTTAAAGGCTGGCGAATTTCACTCAGTTTGATCATTTGATACTGCTACGAATCAATACGATTTGTGATTTAAGGGGGGAGACTCGTCATTCTCTGTCAAAAAACCAGGTTTTCGTTTATGAGTTTTTTGAATTCTTTGTGTTGAACCCTTGAATTGGGTGGCTGGTTGGTTTGAAAATTCGAAACCGTTTGGCCACAGGACGACATTTTGTAGTTTTTTTTCCACAGGATAGGTTAGACCGTCCAAACTTCGAAGCCATTTTACTCAATTGCAGTATTTTGGGTCTTGCGCGCGCGATTTAAGGGGGCACACCAGTGAAAATGCAGAGGTTTCGAAAAACGATCATTCTGAGAAAAGTAACCTATTTATTCGATTGATATTTTATTCTTGGCTAAAAATTATATCAAAGAAAAGAAAAATCAGTATGGAAGGGCAGGGGGCAGGGTGGCAAGACGGAGCGCCAGTACACTTCATTTTTTTGCGACCTTGCTTCACTCCTGCCACGATTCCGCCTCTCTGGATTAAGCCTCGAGCACGGGATTTGAAAATTTCTCACCAGGACACATGTGGCTATGGTCTGAACCACGGGCATGCTAAAAGAATGAATTTGAATTTGTTTTTTCAGAAGGCAAAAATAGAAACAAATTTTTTAACCAATTTTTTCGCGCTTTCATGGCCGCTGCTCACGTCCTATTTATGGGATGGCCATTTCCGAGGTTCAGACCATAGGGGTAGGTTGGGTAAGAAAAGAACACCTGCTATATATCCGAACTGAAACTACTCTGAACCATCACCTTAGTGGTTTTAGAAAGATTGGTCATCCCGCTGACAAAAAATAAATTTAGCCCCGTTCTACAAATATTATTTCGAATCAAACTGCACGGTTGAAAAAATACTAAAAATGACTATGAAATTTTTTTTTTTAACTGTTTGTACTTTCAAGTACACCTTCCTGCAGAATCAGCCGACAGTCCAATGTATGGTACCACCTTATAGCTTAGACAATCATCTTTGAAAAACAGTGCCGTTCGATGCTCTTAGGCTTCAACACAAACTTTTGTTAGTGTTAAAATGAAACGGGGAAGAAAAGTACAGTCAGCTGGGGAAGAAAAGTACAGGCATTGAGGAAGAAAAGGACACCCTGTAAAAAACTTAAAGCGGGATAAATATTGAATTGATCGCGGAAACAGATTTGATTAGGCGTGGATGATATTTTCAGCTGTTTCAAATGATGACAATCTCATCTCAAATTGGTGACATTTTCGTCAAAGCCCCTTTCCTTATTGCATGGGCGTGACAACAATGACATCAATTGTTTTGATGACATCCTTGTAAGGAAAATTAGCCTTGAAATTGTCATCACGTGACGACTTAAATTTTCAGTGTAACATATCCAAACATCAGCGAGTCTTCAGCCCGTTACATCAGTCACATCTGTTGAACAGGTCAAGGATCTGCAGCTGACTGGAACTGCGGCACCACCCCCACCATCCCTGGAAATTGATGTGTGGAAACTAAGCCCGAGCGAGGAAAACGACCTGCTTGTCGGTGACCGCTTGGCTCGGGTGAGATTCCTTTTTGGCTTCTTTCACGTCGGGAGGGTTTTTAGTTTGAGTTTGAAAGCTAGTCAAATCAATGAATTCAGTCAAACTTGGAGCTCAGAGGGGGTTGTAGCGTAGTGCTAAGTTGGAAACCCGAAGCTGACACTGATAATGAAAAGAATTGCAACCAGGACTCAAACTTTGGGTGCAGTATTCTTTTACTATCATCAAATTTGGTTGAGAACTATTGGGTAATTCCACGGAAGCGAATAACACTTTTTCGGCGCGACCTCACCGATTTCGCTCAAACTGGGTGAATCGATTCTTACTAGTGCCCTTTGGATCCCTGAAAAATATTAGCACTTTATCTCCCGTTTCCGAGATATAAGCATTTGAAAATTTTACAACTTTTTTGAAAAAAGTTACATTTTTTTCAAAAAGCTGAAATATCTCCCCAAATTTTTTAAAGCTACATAAAACCGAGTACACCGTTGGAAAGAGCACAAAAAAAAAATAAAATCAAGTCATAAAACGTCCCTTAAGGTCCATGAACTTTTTATCTTTTCTCTCAAACTAAAAAAATCGGTTTTTGCTATACCCAAATACCTCATCTTCGATTTGCTTCAAACTTGGTGGGAAGGCTCCTCAGACCATCTACTTTAATGCCCAAAAATTTGGGAATTTTTTTTTGCCTCGTTCGCCGTCCACAGGCCCAACGTGTGTCGGTGCCCCAGAAAACAGCAAAAAACAGCCAAAAAATTTGCCCTTTTGGCCACCGTTGCCTCTCCGGGTTTTTTTGAATTGCGCGCCAACAGTTGCGTGGTTGCCAATTTTTCATACTCCAACCCGTTCCGCCACCTTGTTTTGATTCGCTTTCGTGAAGAGGTTAGAGGGGTTCGTTACACAGCAACGGATTCAAGAGTTTCATTATTTTTAATTCATGACAACATGCAGTGCTACCTGAAAAACAGCCGAACCACTGATTGTGGTCCGGAGCTGGTGCCGGCCGAAGAACTAACTGATTCTGTCATGGACTGATTCGAAGAAGAAGTGGTCTCTGTCAGAGTATAGACAAAGTTTGTGTCAAACACTTTAAAAAAATTATAGTATTTTTCCCCCTTCGCAAAAAAAAAGTGTTGATCCATTTCATAGACACAGGAAATGTGTGTCTAAGAATCTTTCAGGGGTTTAAAAGTGTTCCATAAAGTGTCTCACCAACTTTTTCTATATTCTGACAGAGACCACTTCTCCTTCGAATTAGTTCCGTCAAAGAATTACTAAGCTCTTCGGTCGGCACCAGCTCCGACCACAATCAGTGGTCCGGCTTTTTTGCAGGTAGCACTGCATGTTGTCATGAATTAAAAGTAATGAAACTCTTAAATCCGTTGCTGTGTACAAACCCCCTCAAACCGACGCGACTCCGGGCGGGAAAGGGCCTGCACAGGCGCGGGGTCCAATTTAGGGGCCTTTTATGCCCAAACCCATTTTAACCTAACCTAACGGAGTCGCGACAGATCTTACGCTACTCGCGACGGATCTTACTCTATTCGGGACAGATCTTACTCTATTCGCGACAGATCTTACGCTACTCGCGACGGATCTTACTCTATTCGGGACAGATCTTACTCTATTCGGGACAGATCTTACTCTATTGGGGACAGATCTTCCTCTATTCGCGACAGATCTTACTCTATTCGCGACAGATCTTACGCTAATTGCGGCAGATACCGCCTAAAGCAACAAAAAAAAAAAATAATCATGAGGATTAGATCCCGCGCCTGCAGCATGTGGGCCAGGCGCGCTACACCTCGTCCACCGTGTCATCTGCCGAGAAGGGTCTCCAGTTGCAAACACTACCCCGCCGCAGCGCTGCGTACCCCCCCCCTTGATCCATGGAACCCTGCGCCTGTGCAGTCCTTCCTGCCCCGAGTCACGCCGCCCCCCTAACCTCTTCACGAAAGCGAATCAAAAAAAGGTGGGGGAACGGGTTGGAGTATGAAAAATTGGCAACCACGCAACTGTTGGCGCGCAATTCAAACAACCAGGAGAGGCAACGGTGGCCAAAGGTCAATTTTTCGGCTGTTTTTTGCTGTTTTCTGGGTGCACCGACACACGTTGGGTCCTGTGGACGGCGAACGAGGCAAAAAAAATTCCCAATATTTTTGGGCATTAAAGTAGATGGTCTGAGGAGCCTTCCCACCAAGTTTGAAGCAAATCGAAGATGAGGTATTTTGGGTATAGCAAAAAACCCATTTTTTCAGTTTGAGAGAAAATGATAAAAAGTTCATGGACCTTAAGGCACGTTTTTTTGACTTGATTTGATTCATTTTTTTGTGCTCTTTCCAACGGTGTACTCGGTTTTTATGTAGCTTTAAAAATTTGGGCCCAGATATTTCAGCTTTTTGAAAAAAGTGTAACTTTTTTCAAAAAAGTTGTAAAATTTTTAAATGCTTTTATCTCGGAAACGGCTTGAGATAGTGCTAATATTTTGAGGGGTCCAAAGGGCACTAGTAAGAATCGATTCACCGAGTTTGAGCGAAATCGGTGAGGTCACGCCGAAAAAGTGTTATTCGCTTCCGTGAATTACCCTATTGTGTCGCCTCAATTCGGATGACGGAGGTTCCCTCCCCACATCTGGGTGATACACTTTTTGGCTTAAGAGTAGTAAATACCCCTGTATCGCTCAAATTTGGGCAAACGAACCTTCATTTTCCAAATTTGGGGCAAAATGATCCCCCCTAAATTTAGGTGGTGGAGTACCCGCTCTACAAATCAAAGAGTGTACATGGTATGCTCTAACTGGAGCATGCCTGCAAGCACGCTCTAGCTAGCGCATGCCTGCCAAGCATGCACTAAATAGTGCATACATGCCATGTACACGCTAACTGAAGCATACATTTACTGCATAAGGGATAGGGAGTTTTCTGCATCAGGAAGCGTGTACATGGCATGTATGCACTAGTTAGAGCATGCTTGGCAGGCATGCGCTAGCTAGAGCATGCTTGCAGGCATGCTCCAGTTACAGCATACTATGTACACTCTTTTATTTGTAGAGTGGACCTCGGCCAAATTATGGCATTGGCCGGGAAATTCTTTCGCTCTCATGTGCCACTGAGAATGAAAAAATCATGATCAATACCCAATTTTGAGCGAGGTTTTCTTTCTCACCCAAATTTGGGCGAGGAAGCTTTCCCCGCCCAATTTTGGGTCAGGAAGGGTGTATTAGCTCCCTATATAGCCCATAGTTTATACCCAAAATTTTGGGGGAGGAAACTTTCCTTTCCCAAATTTGGGCGAGGAAAAATTTTCCCCACCCAGATTTGGGGAATAAAGAATTCCTGACCCCAAAATTTTTGTCATGATCATGACTCTTTCACTCTCAGTGTGACCTTCACCGTTTTTGTCGACACATCTAGATACATACAGTTCGTACGTGCCTATATTATAACAGCCTAGATTCCTGCCTTCTATTTAAATTTTGACGCTATATGTGGCCGTTCGTGTCAGTGGCGGTGGATTAATAAGAGATTCGCAGTACCGGATAATTCGGATGCAGCCTCGTATTACCCGCACACTCACTAAATTCTCATGGACTTCTTGTCCATAGCTTTGGCCATATTTGTATGCGAAAGTTGTGTACAAGTTTGTGCACAAAGTAGGAACAATTTTATGATTACTTAAGCTCAATCCCTAATTTAAGTACGAAATTCTACAAAGCTTGCGTATGTTCAAATATGGCCATAGTTCTGGGCAGTAAAAGCACATAAGCATTTAGTGTGCCGGTTGCGACCCGAAACTAGATCACTTCTGGCGACTTCTGGTTTGGCATCATGGAAGTGACGCTCCGCTGCAATCCTGTCTTTTTTCTTGCTTTTTATATTACCTCGTAGTTGACGACTTCATCTGTGTTGTTAGGTCCGAAAGCTCACAGGGCTGCACTGCTACAACGTCGAGAGGAGCATGGCCGTGCTCATGAAACTCAACCCGCACGTCGAGGAGCTTGGGTTGAGGCAGGCAGAGCTGCCGCAACTCCGCTTTGTTCAAGGCATGACCTCTCTGCGCAAGCTGGTCCTGGAACTCTCCTCCCTTATTCAGTTCGCCGAGTCATACGAAATCCCGGATTTACCGTTGCAGTTGGAGGAACTGGTAGTGCGAGAATTCAGGCGGAATCACCTCCAGTGCTTGCCCAATATGCCCAAGTTGCGCAGGCTGGTGCTGGGGTCTCACAACCGTGACACGTTTGACTTCACTGGAGTCGCGTGGCAGTGCGGCCTTCAGTATCTCAAGGTGGCCACGCGGAGCCTTCCCACCATCGTTTCATTGGTGCGCGCTCACGCCGCCACGCTCGAAGAACTGGAAGTGCACGGAGCGTCGCGGCCAGGCCCGTGCTTCCACAAGGGCCTGCCCAGCAAGCTGCATGCGTGCGGGCTTCTCGCCCTGAGGCGTTTCACTCTGCGCCGCAACGAACATCAACACGAGTCTACTTCGTGCTCGCTACAGCTGTCTTTCTGCAGAGGACTTTTCGGGCCAACCGTCGAGGTGCGGTGCACCGAGTGCAACGAAGAATAGGGGGAGGCTGCCCTGTTGAAGCACCAGCGTCCAAATGAACCGGAACGGTGATATTATTCTTCAAGCTCCTGGGTTGTGATTGTGAGTGAAGATGAGAGGATGAGGTTTGGATTCATGTTCGTGTACCGATATATGCATCCAATTCCATATTGCTTTTTGTTTTCTTGTCTTTTCATTATAATATTCAATGAAATTATGAGTGAAATCCAGCACAAGGAAAAGTGATTATAGGAGCGAAAAGAGAGTTTATCTACAGAAAATCATGTGCACTAGTAAAAATGTGGTAACCTTATGTTAGATTTAAAAAAAAATTGTAAATAAAGTTAAACTAGAAATAAATTTGCACCGAATATCTCAACACATCAGTATTTTACAGTCCCCATTGATTTCAGCAATAAACGAACACACGCACACACTCTGAATGTATTAATGGTATATGGTTGTACAGCAACAATCAGATGAGTGAAAATTTAATCGTTTCATAACATAGAATGTCATCATGAACCAAAGCGTAACTAATGTCGTTCAATCTAGTCAGCGACAATTTATCGTCGAAGGACAAAATTCTTGTTATCACTCTTAACATTATAATGTGTGTGGAAACAACACCTTTTGCAATTATCTGTTTATGCTAACTTTTAGCGGAAGCTATGAAATTATCCTTCTACCCCCACATACACTGATAAGAATTTTGTCGTAACTTAGCGACACATTTATTGACAAGATTTTTTAAGGAATGCATAGCTTGTTAAACCATTAGTCGTACTGGAACTAAAGGATAATTAAACAAGTCATTGACCAACAACAAATGTTGTTAGTCAACGACAAGTATTTCTTCTCGGGACATAAGCTTGGACGCAAACTCAGAAAGTTGGTTCGAGAATTCAAGAAAAACGGCCAAAATGATACATCTTTTCTTGTGCAAATAAAAAACTTACGGTGGGCCGACCAAACCCTTTTAGGATTTTCTTTCAATATGTGAGAGGATCATGCGAAGAAAGTCGCATCGAAATCAAGACATGAGCTTTTTTTAAAAACATCGATTTTTCGGAAAAAAAATTACGTTAAATGGAGAAACCGACATCAAAACTTCACCCAATCGTCTCGTAACTATTTCCATCGTGTTCCCCAGCTCTTTTTACGTAAAGAACCATTCTCGGGACAAATCTGAAAACTTTCAGTACGTACAGAGAAAAATAAAGAAAATATCATGATTCTGACGAGTGAAAGTGAAAGTCAAAGCGAAAACTTCGCTATGCTATTACAGCCGAACCCTTCGCAAAACCCTTTGACATTGGATCTTTTCATAATGACCCCTACCCCTAAAAAAAAGTTTCATCTAAATCGAAGAGATGAATTTCCAAGAGGTCGTTGGTTTGGCATGGAATCGCTCTACAGTATCAGCTTCACTGCGAGAAAAGATAACGGTAAATCCTGTACTGATTCGGCTCCATAAGGATCTCATGTAAGCCGGTACGGAAAACATGTGCAGAACTTCCGTGGTTGGGAAGGTACGGACGGTCCAGGTAAAAAATTGACCAGACACGCTCCGTACTTTTCTCTACCAGTGTGGGCTGCCCTCTGTCTAACCGAGTTGCCGGCGCAGCGAAGCGGAGATGGCAACACGGTTCGACGGAAGGGCGGGCCCTAGCTTGTCCCGCTCACTCGTGTAAATTTTGTCAGAATGTTACAAACATGTCTGATAACCTGATCAAAATTCGCGCACCTCTAAAAGCTGAAATTCTGAAAAGTTACTCTGATATTGACGGTTTGAGTTCTACAGACTGTCAGGAGATGTTTTCAGCTCTCAGAGGTGCGCAAATTTGGATCAGGTTTTCAGACAGGTTTCTGACGTTTACACGAGTGCTGAGCGCTTTTGAAAGAAGGTCTCACCCCACACTTTTAAATTATTCCCTGATATTCGATCTAGAAATTACCACGCGAGCTTCGGCGTCCATTGGGACAATTGGTCTCCACAAGCATTCCGTGTCATCAGAAACCAATTAACCGCGTGCTTTCGGAGAAGGGCAGCGAGTTTGAAGGCACCAGCGAGATTACGGAAGGAGCTGGAGAAGCCAAGTCGGTTCTGTTGCGAGAGGCATCCAAAATAGAACCTTGCAATCATCGCCAAGTACGTTACACTCTTTTAAGAGCATGCTTTCAGCGAGGGGTCAACCACTCGGGCAATCCTGTGTACATCGGCTCGGTAATCGCTTAGTTATCATGTAGTAATCGTGGTAATGTCAAGTAATCGTGGTAATCATGCAGTAATCAAGGTAATCATATCGTGATAATCATGCAGTAATCACGGTAATCATGTAATCGTGCAGTAATCGCGGTATAATCACGTGGTAATTCTTGCAATCGGGTCGATGGTTACCGCCTGTGGGGTAGGCAACACAGTTGTAGAAAGCCACTGTCATCAATAAATGTGCCGTCACATTCGTTGGAATGTAATTAATGTAACGTTGTTCGAAAATTAAGTATTAGCGCACTGGTAAAACTAAAGCGTAGTATTACCCTCTGTTTTCAAGCGTAATCTGTTAACGCTTGAAATCAAGCGTAACAGGCTCATCCGCCAAGATTCCCCCTACCTAAATGCATGGGGAAATTTCCAGAGTATGCTTGATTTCAAGCGTAACGTCTTCAAGCGTAACTCTATGCTTGACTCAAACATAGTGTTACGCTTTAGTTTTACCAGTGCGTCAAAGGTAAAGGGGCTCCTTTGTAATGAGTTGCCGACCTCTCACTTTGACAACGATTCTAAATGCCGGCGCTTGCTTCCGCCTATGCCTCTCTCTCTCTCTCTCTCTCTCTCTCTCTCTCACTCACTCACTCACTCACTCACTCTCTCTCTCTCTCTCTCTCTCTGTTGCCGCCACCAGCCGTCGCAGATGTCACGCAGCGAGGCGGCGTCCCCGAGGCCGCAAGGCCCTCTGTCTGCGCACCTGCGCTGGTGGATGTACGACGTGACGCCCCACGAACACCGCACCCGCTTCCACCGGCCAGTGGCCTGGCTGCGCTCCTCCTTGGTACGCAGGAAAACAAAACTTTGGTACTCGGGTTGGATCGCCGAGCACTGAAAACAAATGTAGTGAAATTTACCACACTGATCCTAGTTAAATGAGCATTAGTTAATATGACTAGAATTCTTGTAATTTTCACTAGATTTTTAGTTACATCTACCAGTGTGGGTGTGGTAAACATGTACCAGCCATCTAGGCCTAGTTAATAATCCTGGTAGATTTTACTAAACTGTTTTGTAATTGTAACCACTCTTAAAATTTAGCTAAATTCGATAATTTTGTAACGTACTGCACCCACACAGTCCCCAGGAACCAGGGACCCTTAACTTACCTCATACGGGCATCATAACTTTTCCCTAAGAGTTAAAGTTATTACCCTTAACTTCCAATATCTTTTCAAAAGGGTAAGTTTTATGTCTCGAATTTGTGTGGATATACTTTTGCAAGTACTTTCAGAAGTCCGTACCCTTAACCTATAGCGAACATTGTCTTATGTTACGTTATGACAGCAGTGTTAGTTAAATGTTGAGTTAAGCTAAGGATCCCTGCCAGGAATCTTCAAAGTTCCTCTTCACTCGTGTAAATCTTGTCAGAATGTCTGTTTGAAAACCTGATCAAAATTCGCGCACCTCTGAAAGCTGAAAAAATCTCCGGACAGTCTGTAGAACTCAAACCGCCAATATCAGAGTAAGTTTTCAGAATTTCAGCTTTCAGAGGTGCGCGAATTTTGATCAGGATTTCAGACATGTTTCTGACATTCTGACAAAATTTACACGAGTGTTTGAGCCGAAAATCCCTCCTTGATCGTAGCATGAGATAAGTGGCCGGGCCGGACGATGCACAGAGTCTTCGGGTGACATGTGGAGGCAATTTTTTTTTAAGAAGTCCGATCATGGAATCATGGAACAAAAAGTTCGTGCGCACAAAAAACTGTGATGTCTCGTTCAAAATTGTACACAACATTTAGTGTGATATTTAGAGTGTACTGCCTTGCCGCAGACCTGCGTGGTGTGCCTGGCGCTGACGTGCGTGCACATGCTGGGCGAGCTGGCCACGCACCCCATCGTGTATGGCATCTACGCGCGCTACACAGCGGCCGCCGTCTCTTGCATGCAGGCCATACTCATCTTCCGATGCCGCTGGCGACTCCTGGTGGACTTCTTCCTTCACGCAAGCCAGATCGCCGCAGCGCTCGAGCGGGTCAAGGACACTGAGGTGGAGAAAGAGAGAGAGAGAGAGAGAGAGAGAGTGCTTGCAGGCACGCTCCAGTTAGAGCATACCATGTACACTCTTTGATTTGTAGAGCACGTTGTAAATTTTCAAAGTATTCGTGCAACGATATAAACCCCAAAAATGTTTGTAATTTTACAAAAACTTTTTTGCAGTGGGATACTCCGTTGTCCTTCTTGTCGATAGTCTCCGTAGAATCTCATAGTATTCTCCGTAGGACTTAACAGTCTTCCGAGAACACTGGGAGGTTCTACGTAGAACACTGACAAGAAGACTAACTCTGACAGACAACACTGGTAGCCAACGAAAGTGACGTCATATTCGTGGGAGTGTGAATTTTGTCACGTTCGTTTGAATATGATGTCACAATTTGTTTGAACGTGACTCGGCCGTTTAAGTAGGGTGTCACATTTGTTTGAACGTGGGTCAACATTCAAACGAATGTGACATCATATTGAAACGAACGTAACAAATTCACATACTAACGAATGTGACGTCACATTCGTTGGCTGCCAGTGAAGAGGGCTACGGAGAACCTTGGCAAAAAATTTTAAAAGAATTTTCCGTAGCGTTTTGCCATAGTGACCAGCGCATCTTTTAAATTTTTATCGAGACCCGCGCTAGGGACGTCTGGAGCGGACGGCTGGGTACTGCAATCGAGTCGTAAAGACATTCCGCTTTTTCTGTGTCATCACTGTGCTGCCTTCCCTACTGGCCGACTACAATGAACTTCGATGGCATGAGCAAATCACCTACGTGCTGGTGCGGGCGCTCGGTGTCTCTGAGGTGATTGCAAGACAGTGTTCATGGGTGCGTTCACTCACCCTAAATGTTTTGTACAAATTTTGTACGAGACATCACAGTTTTTTTTTGCTCACGAACTTTTCGTACAAATTTGTACAAAATTTTTTACAATTTTGTACAAAAATGGGGGGAAAAAGTGCAGTTTTTCGTACGAAAATTGTACGAAAAATTTTGTGCGCACAAAAAAAAAATGTGATGTCTCGTACAAAATTTTACATTATATTTGTGTGCTTTAAAGGGAAAAATTGATCGGCGGGTCACGCGAGCGAGGAGGCCGCTGCT